TCTTTATCTATATATGTCTGGTATTTTTGCATTTGCAGCAGCGTTATGGATATACAGCATATGCCAGTCCAAGTTAGTTTTGAATAAGGAAAATAAGATAGCCTTTTTTAGTTTCTCAAATGATTTCTTCGTTACTTATTTTACTTTAAAAGAATTTTTTGTCAGGTAAATTGAATAAATTTTCAGATCGACAGATGTTTATCGCATCCATCATCTAATGACAGCTCTCGTGATCATTAAGTCATTGTCCTTGTTTTTCCATGGTGTGAACTACTACTTTGTATCGTTGTATGGCCAACAGCGAGAAGTTTGGGCAATAGTTTATTATGTTACCCACTTGTAAGTGGTTAATTATTACGATACTGCTTCTCATCTGTCTGCGGAGACTGAACTATAGATTTTTAATAACGGATGGGGCTGAGAAAGTATTCTATGGTCAATTTTTTTTGACTGTTTAGAATGATATTCGTACACTTTGAAATCTTTAGGCTGAAGGGAGCTTTGCTTTTTGGAACGATTATTTTGATTGGTACTGGATACACGTTTTTTAAAAATTTTTTGAGCGATCGCGATAGAAAGCTTGTAATGATCGTGCTTCCACTTCAAGTATGTTGATTCTTAACGTTTTTTTCTTAGGAAATGTTAGCTAATGACTTGTCATGGAAATATCCTTTCTTTTCCTTGCATTTTTGTACAAGAATGTCTTCCTCTCACGCCCACTTTTCGTAATATGGGTTTATCAAAAATAAATCTCAGGGTCTTGTTCTGAAGAACATGCTTGTGTAGTCTTCGTCAAAATCTGTGATTTTTTACTGTTGTATCAATTCCTCACACATTCACTTTTTGTTTTCATAGCTTTAAATTGTTTAATGAGCTCTTTTTTTTTAATGTGCTCAACGAGAAGAGGGGTTTCTCTTCTAGGTAGGTTTTACAATTATCAGTCTTTTTAAAAAATTGCGTTTTCTTGCTTGCAAATTTTTGGACTTGACGAAAGGTGGTGTAAAACTACTTGCAATTTTTTACTGCATTCTTTTATTTAGTAACCATATTTTTAGGTTGTAGACAATATTGCCATGATTATCATTGAGGAGAGTGAATTTGCTGAACAAAGTTACCAGTTCTGGTTCCAAATTTTTATTCTTATCGATATCGTTTGTTGTATGGCTATTATTTTACCAATTATTTGGTAGGTTTTTCTTTTGTGTTTGAGTTCTCCCTTTCTGCTTGTAAAACTCTCTTTTGTTATGTTCATTACGGCTTTTCATCTTTTTGTGCGTAATTTTACACAGTGACTTTAAGGTCAATGCGTCATCTCCAAGAAGGCGCCAGAAGTGACGGCAAGGCTGCTTTTAACCTCGAAAAGCTGGTATTATTCCGGCATTTTTACCTCATAGTAATAAGCTATATATATCTGACACGCGTAATAAAATTTTTTGTCGAAGTAAGTTTTTTTTGTTTTTTATTTCATTTGAAAATTCTTATGCTGTTGCTTCTGACTGTCTTATTGAATTTGATTCCGTAAAAACAACTTTGGTTTTATTGTTTTATGTACAGAGTTTATGTACAGTTATTTAGTACGTCGTACCATTTGACTATGAATGGATTTCTGACGCCGTTGTTGAAGTCTCTACACTTTTCTTTTTCTTGATTACTGGACATAAATTTCGGCCTCAAGAGAGGAATCCATACTTAAAATTAGCTCAGGATGTGGAAGGAGAGGCGTACGTTTTCACAGTTTTGTTTAAGAATTTATTTCTCAAATATTTTGGTTCTTTATTGTCATATATAGACGTGACTAAGGGATTTTTTTATTTTCAGATAGTTGTTGCGTTTTGTTTTACGTGCTGTTCTATTTGTGTTAATCTTTTTACTTCTTAAAGCTTTTTGAAGATTGACACAAAGTGGAGTGTTCGCAAATGTGACGAGAGTTAAGAGGATACAGCCGAGGGATGAACTTTGTGATAGTATTCCTGGAGCGATAGGTGGTACTGGTTTTGAATCAGATGATAGTGACGGTGAAAAAATATTTCCTGATGTTGAGAAGCAACCGCTGACACGTTTGTCGGCGGTTATATAAACTGTAAAATTTGTAAATTAATTAATTTTGCAAGTAGATTTTTTTTTTCGGTATCTTTGGAGTTAGCGCTTTACGGGTTCTATTTAGTAAGTAGATTTACTGTATTTTGCCTTTTCTATGCTAAACATTTCGTTTTGAGATAATAATATTATTCTCTCTTTTACTGTTATTTTGAGTATATCTGTGAAATAATGATTTTTATTATATAGTGCCATATTGAAAAATATTGTATTTTTACTCAATTTTTTTGAATGCCAGATGGATTTATTTTGTAGCTATTTTGAGTTTTTTAGTTGGTAATTTACTCGGCTGATCTCCTAAAATAAGGGCTATTTTTACTTTTACTTTCGCGCTGCAGCCCGTTTCTTCCTTCTGGCTCTATTGACTAGAGTTTTTAATGATGAAGAGTTTTTTGTAGTTGTTAGGGTTATTAGAGGAAAAGAACCACTGAAAATTCTAATTAAAGAT